CGCTGAAGCATCGACCATTTCTGGCCGGCAACTTTCAGCGTCATTAAGCCGCTGCGCCACCGCGTCTCTGAATACCTGGATTCAATTACTTCAAAGCTTCCCAGCCAGTTTTGCAAATTGTGGCTAAAGCCAATCTCAGTTAATGTCAAGCATCACTGCAGACAGTAGGACTGACATTTTGAATACCCTCTGCATTAAAGAGGAGGGAGGAAGAAGGTATGGGAGATCATAGCATTTTGTCCTATGGCTAAAAAATGGGTATAACAAGGTAATAAGACCACGACCAGCAGAAAATACGATCTGACATTCCTATTTATACAAACTTTTAAAAGCTTGGTACAGCGACACAGAAACTTACTTTTGAAACACATCATGCCAGATTCAGGTGTGCTTGGATAGTTCCTGGGTCACAAATCTGCAAATTTTCAGTACTCTCCTATTGATTATTCAGTATGGGATAAAATTCTCTCATATGCTTTAAATGCAAAAGAGCCCTTAAGCAGCCAGCAACCTTGGAATATGGCTCCTTTGTGCGCCCCAGTCATATTTTTATTCAAACAAACATTAAAAAGAACAAATCCTGCATAAAAATAATCATTATTCTTGCCATACATCATTTCTCAGCCACTGTTCCTCTTCTCAACTGCTTCAAAGAAATAAAATACATTTGATAATGTATAGTATAAAACAGCAAAACTTTCTTAGGCCTGAGGAACCTGAGGTTGCAAGTTGGGATCCCATTTCAAAATGGGGTGGCCCAGGATAAAGAAGTGGATGAGATCAGAAGTCTAAATCAACATTTGATTACATTCAAATTTAATTAAAAATACTTCATGTATAATGCAATTTCTGTACATGTTTTTAATTACTGACCTCATTTATGAAAAGATATATAGTTCTGTTTCTTTCCAAAGTGATTTGCAACATTCTAAACCCTACAAACATTTCATGGTTGATAGCTAAGAGAAAAGCAAGACTAAAAAAATAAAAAATGAATATGTGAAAAAAAAAAGTAGTAGGAATTAATGGCTGGAAAATGCCAATAGGCAGATTAAATCCCCCCCCCCTTCTGCAATATTCAAAATCACAACTAGTTAGCAGCTCGTGAAGGGTATCTGGAACTCCATCCTAGGCTGAGCAGGCATTGGTTCTCCTAGGTTTGTCCGATATACAATTTCCTTCAACCTGGATGAGCATCCCGAATCTTGTGCCAATAAGAAGACACGTTTAGTCTGACTAGTTCTTAAAGTTTTAAAGCTACTTCTCTAAGAAACGTGGCTAGCTTACCAATGCCTTTGCCCAGCTTAAAGTTACTGTACCAAATGAGCAACAACGTACCACCACCAGCTCTCCTCAATGGCTTGATTAGCTTACCTGCAGATATCATTCTCTGGCTCCTCCAGTCCAAACTGATGATCGAACACCAGCTGTATTCTAGCATTTCCTAGTGAACGTAGCCTCCATGTCAGCAACAGATTCCTAGGATAATTGTGTGGGAAACGAGGGCTCTGGATGTAACCATCTTCCCAAACATTGATGGTCTCTTCTCTCTTATATAAGGCTGTGAGGTGATTACTCTCTGTTAAGAATCACAAAGAGTAGATATTAGTGTGTGATTCAAAACTGGTTTAGAAACACTACACAGTGTTTATGAAGATTCTCAGTCATCCAGGTGGAATTGTCTGGAGGCTGAGTCATGGCAACTGGACTTTTCTTTTTTTGGTAGAGACGTTTCACTACTTGTCCAAGCAGCTTCTTCAGTCTGAAAAAAGTTGGTTAGGGGGACCCCTTAAAAGTCTTCCAGGGTGGCTGTGTTTCTTACTAGCATGATAGGCTCGTTGAGGGACAATACACTACAAAGGTGTGTGTGTATGTATGTATTTGTGTATGTGTGTGTGTGTATACACACACACATACACACACACACGTATATGTATATGTATGTGTATATGTATATGTATGTGTGTAGGTATGTGTGTAGGTATGTGTATGTATGTATATATATATATATGTGTGTGTGTGTGTGTGTGTGTATAAAATTTCTCCCCCACCCATCTCCCCCTAGTGGGGGAACTCTGGACGACTCACACAAACATTAAAATCATAAATATATATAAATACATAAAACATCAATTTAAAAACATTACTAAAAGGGACGCGGTGGCATAAGGGCTTAATGACGCTGGAGTTTGCCGGTCAGAAATGGTCGGCACTCCAACGGTTTGAGCCCGGCTCCGTGGGACAGGGTGAGCTCCTGTCCCTTGTCCTAGCTCCTGCCCACCCAGCAGTTCGAAAGCTATTCCATCTGCGTGTAGATAAATGGGGACTCCTGTTTAGATGGGAGGAACCGGTGGGGCTGCATGGGGGAGCAAAATCCCGGTGCTGGCCGAACTCCGAATGCAGCCGGCACGAGCGAGGATCGATGCAAGCAGCGAGAAAGATCTACGGAGGAGGAAAAAAGCCCGGATGACCCCCTAGAGACCCCTGCTGGTCACATAGTGTAATAGCACTAATTGTAAGA